TAATAAATTATTAATAATCTCCAAAAATCTTTAATAACCTGTTTATTTTATGTATTGAAAGATAAAAATGATTCATTGCATTATAAAATACAATATACGTGTCAATGCATTGTTTTCAGAAATCAATACTTGAAATTTTGTATTAAATTAAAAATTTTGATAAAATGATGCTTGAATTTACTTTAAATTAGAAATATTTTTTTAGATTGTTTTTAAATTAAAAATAACATTATGTTAAAATTAAAAATCTGAAAAATTAGCAAAATCAGTGAAATAGATGCCAAATTAACGGAATAGACAAAAAAGGGTTACAAAAAAGTTCGTTTGTGATTCCTGAAATTTTGTTTATTTGAGATTTGCATTAATAATTGATATTTAAAACGCTTAAAATATGTATCGATTAAAATTTGAATTAATTGAAAATTAGGTGCATGGAAGTTTGCATAAAATGAAATTTGTATACATTTAAAACAAGGTCAATTAAAATTTAGATAAATTGAAAATGAAGTAGATCAAAATTTGTAACGGTTAAAATTTCGATGAATTGAAAATTAAGCCTATCAAATATGAATAAATTGGAACATAGATCGATTAAAATTTGATGAATTAAAAATTACGACCATCGAAATTTGGACATATTAAAATTTGATAAATTGATCATTCAGTCGACTGGAATTTGTATATGAATTAAAATTAAAATTGCGGTCTTCAAAAAGAAGACAAGAACGAAAAAAAAGTAAATTAGTAATCACAATTGAGATAGAAATTACAAAGGACAGTGAAACGGACATAGGAGAGCAAAGGAGACGGCCGCTTGCGGCCGTCGACTGCGCTAGTTTAGTTAAAATATGAATTTTCGATTTTTCAATTTTTATTAATTCTCAAATTTTATATATACCAACCAATTCGTTTCAATGCAGGGAATAAAATTATTTCATATATAAACATGAATTTAAATAAACACATCATTTTTTAGCTAAAATGAGAATTTTTGATTTTTTAACTTTCATTAATTCTTTAAATTTCAATCAAATCTATACTTTATATATTACCTTAAATTTTTCGATTTAAAAATTTTTTCAATTAAAAAAAAAATTTTTGGAAAAAAGACGATAAAATTTTTTTTTGGTGTATTTTTAAAAATCCTCTCGTCATTTTTGAGAGATTAATGTGTTAAATAGGCCTACGAAATTTTACCCAAATCCATTAAAACCTGTTAAAGATATCGTGTTCACAAAAAATATCCACACACACATTCACACACACATACATACATCCGGACAATTGATCAGGATCTCATATAACATGTTTCTATATAGAGGAAAATTTGTTTGCACCATTTTCAAAAATTTTATAAACGAAAGGACTCCACGGGGAAGCAAAAAACAAGCTATTGTGGACACCGACAGATGACAGTATGCGCTTCTGTCAAATATTGACATGCAGACCGGGAATCTTAAATGTTGCACATCCCTCCACAACACCATATTTTTTTGAAAAATTTTTAATTTTAAGTAAAATGGTTAGAGAACTTGTATTCAGCAGAACAAAAAACCCTTTTTTACACATTGATGGTATCTGGAATGGTAATTGCAAAATTATTTGATTAAAATCTACACAATATCTTCAAATAACTTTTTGCGTAAAAAGAATTAGTAAGGTAAAGTGTTAGTGGAATATAGGGTGGAGAATTGAAGTAGAGAAGAGATGGAGTAGTGAAAAACTGTATTACTACTAGTCTTAATAAAGGTTGATTATAAGCGGATAAAAAAATATTTAAATATATTAATTTCTTTTAAATCACCAGTAATTTTTGTAGCTCTTGATCAGCAACCAGAGGGCAGTGTTAATTGTTGATTATATAAAATAGCATTTACGTCATCTTTTTATTTTAGTGTGATTATTGCAAAAAAATGTACTTTCTTCCTTCTGCACCCGGTGGTGCAGAAATTATTCCTACCCTTCTACAAAACATCCGATTAAAAACGATTGAAAACAATAGGAAAGAAATTATTATTGTCCCCAATCGTGTTTCTTAATCGTGTTCTTACAATTGAGGACGATTGACTTTCTTATTATATTCAATCGTGTTCTATAAATTGTGTTGCATGCACTATTGTTTGGCGGGTGTTTTTGACAATTTTAAAAAGTGCAACTAAGTAAACAGTCTAGAAAAATGTCATTGTTTCAAAAATTATTTTCCGAACTAATTATTTTTTTATTTATCTTTCAATGAAGCTGCACAAGACGAAATGTTTATAATTTATCCAAAAAATGTTTAAAAAATAATTTTTGACTAATACATCAAGTATTGTTTTAAATTGAAATATTTATTAAATGCTGAATATTTTTTAAATTTCAGTGAATATTGATTTTTTTAAAATAATTAAATGTTGGAATATCTACAATAATTATAAGATTCTTCTTAAGAATTTTTAAAAAATTTGCTTATATTTTCCAAAAATATTTAATTGAAAAATTATGGTTTTTTGCCTTCGCAAGGGTTCAGGCGAACTTGAAACAAAATTTATATTGAAAAATTTTTTCTTAAATTTTTTTGAAAAGTTGCTGGATACCCAAAATTCAGAAAAACTAAAAATTTTGTTCTAAAAAAATGAAAAACTGAAATTATTTTGAATTGTAAGAGATATAATTTTTTCTTACATTTATTTTTATATGTTCCTAATTAATTATTTAATTTCTGTTTATATGTTTTTTTACGTAGCTATTTATTTATTTCTATATTTTTGAGGTTATGTATTATCAACTCAAAGGTTGTCATACTTGATGTGTTCATATATAGGACAAGTAAACATATTGACATATCACTACACTGAGAGACCTTTTGAACTGCAACGGAACAAGGTAAGTGACAGCAGCGCTACTATGGTTTTGGAGTGCGGCGATTCAATTTTGGGAGCGTGACTGTCCAAAATGTTGGTGAGTAGCTCACCGAAGTTGTGGGGACGCCACCTTTGGTTTGTAGCTGAACAACTATTTGGCAGACACGCCCCCAAAAATGTACAGCAGCAGCCGAAACGTATAGTCTCATAGCTTACCAACAGAATGCTCCGCAGCCGCCTGTCGAAAGTTGACTACGGTGCAAAAGGTCTCTCAGTGTAGAAATTTTATTTTATATTTTAAATATTTGACACATACACACTAACAGAACAAAATATATATTACAAAAGTGACCAAAAACCAAAACACGCTGAACATTTGAGAAGTGTCAAAATTATTTGCAATAAAATGACAGTGGCTTCCACAGAATCTGATTTCCGACGGAAATTTAATTGACAAATTATATTTATATATACATAGATATAATTTCTTATAGGTTATATTGGTGCATTGGATTTAATCACAATCATACTCGAAAATTGTCTTTAATTTGTCAGAATTTGACGGTAAGTGGTTTTTTATCGCATTTGAAATAATTTATTATTAAAAAACTGTGGCGAACCATATAAGAATTAATTTAATAAAAAGATGGGGTCCGACTTATACGGATGGCACAAAGTTAGGAATTTTCCGGGACTAACAAATGTAACTATTGATCATTATTTATGACGGTTGAGAGAGTATTTAAATAGAAATATAACCACTTCGGAAGGGAATAAGTAAATTGGACTTACCTTGATTTCTTTGTATAGAAATGGAAATTGCGCTATGGTTCTTTTATTGAATTAATATTATTTTATCCCAATAGAATGAGTATTGCGCTGATAACGTTTTTATATATCCTTTATTTACTTTAGATTTCTTTTATAATTTCATCAATAATTATTAAATTTGCGCAGAGACAATTATTAGTAAAATCATTTGATTAATACGACTTAATTGGGAGAACGCTATTCTCTCTCTGAATATTAATTTCCGGTGGCCGGATACATGTGCGTTTTTCGTCTGCTTATTTTCACGCGTACCACTGAAGCATATTTAAGTTGGCAATAGCGCGGGAAAACTACTCAAATTTAAATTATATATTGTTTGGGAAAATCACTCAGAAGGGTATCGAATATTATTTTAGTAACAAACTGGTTCGTAACAAAACTAAAAATTTAACATTTATTTATATAATAAGAGATTAATAAATTCTGATGAGGAAACAGGTACTGGTTTCGAAACGTTAAAGATGTTTTTTTATATATCTTTCCTGCCCTAAAAATTTGCCTAATTTTGGAGAAATTATAATTTATTATTAATTTAGACAAGACATCAATGAAGATATCAATATATTTAAATAATGTATTAGTATACTTTATTTTTAGTATTTTATCGTCTTTTTTTTAAAAATATTTTTAATTGAAAAAGTTTTTGAATAGAAAAATTTAAGGTGGTATATAATAAAATCGTCATCCTTACGTCAAGACGAATCGATTGGTATATATAAAGTATAGATTTGATTTATATTTTAAGATTTTATGAAAATTAAAAAATCAAAAATTCATAATTTAGCTTAAAAAAATTGTGTTAATTTAAATTTAAGTTAATACATAAAATCATTGTATGTTTTGCATTGAAACGAATCGATTCGCATATATAAAGTATATGTTACACCCAAAATAAATTAAAATTTTTCTAATTTTTAATTTTTCAAAAAATTTAATTAATTTAAAACATTTTTCAAGTCTAAATGTTTTAAATCAATCAATTGAATTGGATAAACTCATTGCTTCCTCCACGAGGAAGCAAATTCTTCGCTTCACACAATGAGGAAGCTAAATGTTTATGAAATAAACATAAAGGACCCTCTCCTTGTTTTATATTGCGTTTTGTTAGTTTTAAAAATTGTTAAACTTTAATTTAAATTTTTGTAAATTTGGTCCTTAAAGGGTTAACAAACCTTACTTCAGAAATGTTTTATTTGCTTTGTTTTTACAAAACGCAGATCCTAAATGTAAATTTTTTGGCCAGCAGGGCCATAATAAGTTTGCCCTGAAATCATTTTTCTAAATAGGATTGTCAAATCACTAATTTTAAATACTTTGTTTGTATAGGTCCTTTATTTTGTGAAATATATGCACTCTTTGGATCTTTATGTGGTTGTGCTTCAATATGGACTATGACAGCTATAGCTTACGATCGTTATAACGTAATTGTTAAGGTAAATTTTTCTACTAATCAAAAACATTTATACTCGATAACAAAAAGTGATCTGACAGTTACAAGAAGTTTAAAAAATTTTCCACTACAGTAGTACAGCGCTGATTTATATTTATTTAGTCTTAAAAGAATAAAAATGAATACAATATCACTGGCGGATTATCTCAAACAAACTCGGAGCGAATTTTATTAGATTTCCCTCAAGTTTGATTTAAAGCAAAAAATTGCACACATTTAAGGGGGAAAACTCGTGTAAAAAAATTTTTGTACGGTTTTTTTTGGCATTAAAAATTAGTTTACTATCTGTAGAATATGATCCTGCATTACTAAATAATCTATAATTAGATGTATGAATATTTTTAGTATACATAAGTTTATCACTTCAGATGCCATCCGAAATGATGTAAAGCTTGTAAACGCACTGAAACGGACGACTTTTGTAAAGCTTTGAATCAAGAAAAAGCAATTAAATGGATCCAGAAACGATGGGAAATAAAATTAGTAGCAAAAATAAATGATTCTTTATTAAAGAAACATACATTTAAACATAAAACAATTATTCTTACTAATTCTAACCCCTGCGTTCAAAACATTGGGAAAACAGTGTTTTCTTGGTAATTTTACCTTGTTATTGGGAAAATATGGTGTTCTACCTTACCGACATTGGATATTAATTTAACGCAGGTTTTGTCGAATTTTCAATTTCAATAGAAATCCAAAATTACTTAATAAAAAGTGGTAAAGGAAATTAAAAATAAGCACTTAATTATGTTTAATAACATTTTGATTATTTTGAATTGCTTTTGAAATTAGAAAATCGAAAAAACCGCGTTAAATTAATATCCAATGTCGGTAAGATAGAAAACCATATTTTCCCAATAACAAGGTAAAATTACCAACAAAACACTGTTTTCACAATGTTTTTAATGCAGGGGTTAGAATTAGTAAGAATAATAATTGTTTTATGTTTAAATGTATGTTTCTTTAATAAATAACTATTTATTTTTGCTTCTAATTTAATTTCCCATCGTTTCTGCATTCATTTACTTGTTTTTCTCGATTAAAAGCCCTACAAAAGTAGTTCGTTTCAGTGCGTTTATAAGCTTATGAGCATTTCGGATACCGAAAAGTGCTTGTATCCGAGATTCTTACGGATTCGTTTACCAGCTATTGAGCTTGTAACCGGAATCCACTTTTCTTGTATCTTTTATTTTTTACTGGGTAACTTACTGGTTATAGCATGACAAGATGCTTTTTTAAAAAAAATTTTAAACGATTTTTGTAGATTAAACTGGGTAACAAAAAAATGGTCATGTTGTGTTTATTTCAAAATTCCTGTGTTTATCGAATATTTGGGTGTCAATAAAAAAAATTTAATTTGTTCAGTTCCCGAAAAATGAGGGAAAATAGCTTTTTTGGCACTTTTTAAATTACTATAAAATGAAAACGTAAGAGCACAGAAAGCTTTAACAGGGCTCAAAAGTCGATTATGTAATTTGATTTGACTTTGACGTCAAAGTCAAATTTATTTTTTCATTGCAATACGTCAAATTGCTATAAAAAAATAAATTTGAATGCGACGTTAAATTGAAATAAAAAATTAAATTTTAATTTAACGTCTAAGTTAAATAAAACAATGAATTTGTTGAATTAAATTTGACTTTGACGTTAAAATGAATTTGATTTTGACGTCAAATCAAATTACATAATCGACACCCTGTATTTAACGCATAACCCCTAACGTATCATTGAATTTATAGTTCAAATCTTTGGAAATGTATGCTTGATAGAAACAATTGTATTTGCTTGAAACTTGTCACTTAGAAGTTTTTTGGGTTGCTGATTACCAATTTGAGGTTAGGTTTTAAAAATTCAAAATGGCGGATCTAAAATGTGCTTACGAAAATTTTAAAAACCGTTTAAATTCTCTTAAGTCTTGTTACTCGGGGGTTTTTGGGGTGATTTAAATTTTGAACAATATAAGACTTAACAAAATATTTTTTTTACTGTAATTTTACAATAAAATTATTTTAAAAATTAGAAAATTTCATTTAAATTAAAAGAATTTCAATGAAATCGTAAAATTATCAAAAAATATATATATTTTTTGATAATATTGTGAATATTTAAAAACCCATTATTCGGTTAAATTTTTTGAAAAGAATTGTTATGTTACAGGTGCTGATTAATGTGTAAATTTCATATAATCAACTTCATTTAATCATTTTATTAATATTTAACGAAATTTTCAGATAACCGCGCCACCTAACCTCGAAAGCACTTTTGAAATACTTATTAATTTTTTATAAAAACTGTTAATATACATCAAAAATTTTTATTTGTTTCTTAATAACAAATGTATAGAGCTAAAAACTTAATATTTGAGCTCTTCTAAAAATCATTTTTTAAAGAGATAACACAAAAAAATGAAGATGTTAAAAAATTACTTTGGAGTATCAAAATCAGTTATTTTAATTTATACTCCACAATAATTAATGAATATAAATGAAATTTGGTACAAACTTACAGTTCATCAAGTACTCTAACTTGAATGAAGAGAAAAATTAATTTAACTTACCATTTTTTAATAAACTCAATTGCGTCAAGCAACCTCTGCGCTAAATAGTCCCAGTCTCCCTTATATACACAAATCGTAATAATTTTAAATTTGAAAAGTAATTGAATCTTTTTTAAAATTATTCATAAATAAAATTACATAACAATTAAATTTTAACGCATTTCAGTTTAGACAATTGAGAAAAAAAATTTTCGCTCGTAGTGTCTGTTTGAACAAATAAAGAAGAATTTTTAAAGTCACCTTTTAAATGTAAGACACTGATATTCCAAGGTATTACTGTCAGGCTAAAATCATTGTAAAATATGTGGTATATATTATATAAATTACATATTAGAGGAGACTGGGGCAAACCGGCCATGTGCGTAAACCGGCCAGGTGTTAGTTTCTCAGAATTGGTCAAACTTTAAAATATGTCAATTATAAATTTGAAAAGACTATATTAAGAATAACTAATTTCTTCAGTTTGACATTTTTTAATTGTGTTTATGCAATTTTATAAACAAAAGTTTGTTTTTTCGCTTCCGCTAGAAATTTTTACAGATCTGTTCATAAGCAATTTGTGAGAAAATCGTGTAACATTTATTAAAACTGTTTTTTAGGTTTAAAGGATGCATGCCTCAGTTAAATTTATCGGTATATTATTTAATGATTTTACTAAGCATTTTTTTATATAGGTCTTAATTGTCAAAATGGGCCTATGGGGCAAACCGGCCAATGTCTGCTTCCCTTGCAACAGAAATTCACGAAGATTACCTATCGGCTAGAAAACTTCGTGCGCGCTTTCATGAATCTTTGCCCACTTTACGGAGATTTACGAAGTTTTACAAAGTTCACCGACAGACGTTTCTTTGTAAACGACAACAATTAGTTGAAAATATTTGTTTTATAATAAATAAGATGTTTCTATAATTGAAATTTAATCCTCTCTTATTATTTTCCTTATTGGGAAGATTGTTTATTGATTTTTTCTATTTAGTGACGTTTTCCTTACAGAATTGCGCTTATCGTCGTGCTCAAGGCCGACTGGGATGCCTGAGTCCATAAGGACTATAACTCCCGATCTTAAAATAAGCATATCTACCCCCTAACGAAAGAACTACCGACATGTTGAAACGGCGGCGATTTGGCAAGCCGCCTCGCTACCGATGCACCATGAAGAAAGAGGAGGGAAAAATTGCCGTTGTAAGGTCCTTAAGAACCAAAACGGCGAAGAAGACCGGGTGCCCTTCCAGGAGGAGACGGTTAGCATTGATTCCCTTCGCGGAAGAAGGGAATCAAAGTACCAAGCGGGGACCTTGTCTTGACTCATTCACACACGCACTCATACAATAGGGTGCCCAATGAAATGGCTGAACGGTAAGTAACATTCATCTTAGAGCCGATAACACCCCAGCAGGAGTGGGCGTGAGTTAGCGAGGACAAGAATCCTGCACTTCCAACGGGGACCACGTGGAACATCCGCTCCCAGACCGAAGTGTCAGACCGCAGTCTGAAACCACAACGGTCTCACCCTGCCTCCGGACGAAGAGGCGTACTGCGTTCAAATTTCCCTCTTTAGTCGCCTCGTACAACACGCGATGGGATACGGGAAGACAAGTTCTCCGGTCGCACTTCCACGGCCACCTTGCACGGGGAGGGTCCCATTTCACATAGTGAACACCTGGCAGGCGTAGTGCGTTCATACATCATCGGTAATGTCCCATCTCAGCGTCTCCGTCCAAGCGGTACTTAGCTAAATGGGTACCATTCTCCGCACCCCTTTTAGTCGCCTTTTACGACATGCAATGGGCTACGGGCGCCCTATTCTGAAGCCGGGAGCCCCACGCCACGGCGAACGTTTTCCTTACAATTAATTCTCTAAACAAAAAAAACTAAACTGACTGGTTTGCACAAAGGGGTGACCGGTTTACCTCAGAGGTGGGGCAAACCGGCCAGTTTCCAAATTTTTTTAAAATTGATGCAGCAGCTAAACAATACATTTTAAGGTACATGTGTCTCTAGGAAGAAGTTGCGCAATTAGATGAGCTTTCCAACAAACTTTAAATAAAACTTGAACCTTAACCCTGGATTGCCATACTTCAGTATTATCGCGTGATGGTCATACGGAGCACAGAGAGGAAAACTGTTAATTTTTGTGTCAAAATCTTAGAACTTTTGACAAAATTGATATAATTTAATAAAAAGAAAATTGGAAATGAAAGCTGAGTTTCCACAGATTAGAGGAAATATATAGAGAAACAGTTAAAAAAAATTATAACCTACAAAAAATTCTCCGAAGTTGAAATTTCACTACAGGAAATTCGTTTTCATTACACTACAAGCACAAAAGAGTTGAAATATTTGTTTCTATCGACTATACTTACTTATTTTTTCATGCTGATTACGAATCTGATGTCAAAATTAATAAAAAACAACTAAGGAAG